GTGGTGTTTGTGGAAAATGTGTGTGTGTGTGTGTGTGTGTGTGTGTGTGTGTGAGAGAGAGAGAGAGAGAGAGAGAGAGAGAGAGAGAGAGAGAGAGGGAGAGAGAGAGACCTGGCTCAGGTGGGGCTAGACCCAGCAATGGTGACCTGAGGGCTGTCAGAGGCTAGCCAGGACGTGCCGCTAGGACTACAGGGGCTGTACCTGCCACGCTGATGGGCTCCCACACCCCAAATCCACTGCAGTACCATCTATACAGCAGGGTACGTGGCTTGTATTTCTGGCTCCCGTTCTGGACTGCCCACCGCCCAAGGGCCTCCTGCCCCGCTGCAGAGAGACAACCCTGAGTACGGCCCAGAGCAGGCGGCCAGGGAAGCTGGTGTGTGCTGAGCGCTGGAACAAACGGCCCCAACCCCCTTCCCCATCCAACCCCCACTGTTTTATGTCTCATATCTTTATGGCAAAGCACGGCCCGCCAAAACACGGGACTGAGAAAATGATTTCATCAAAATTCTCCTGCAACAACAACAACAAATAAGATCGCCCTGCTCCCTTTATGCGTGATCTTTTATTGAGACGAAAGGCAAATATCATTGAGCCAAACCTGAATAGACAAACATACACAACGGCTGGTAATTTAATATTTTGTGCTAATGGTATACACTGTAGATACAAGCCCAGAGGAGTGAATTACAACCCTATCAATAATACATCGCGTCTGGGCTCCGGGTTCCCACTTCAGGAGAAAATGTGTATTGGCAAAAGGCTCTCCGAATATTAAAAGCCATGAATATAATGAGGCTGTGGGTACAGAAGCTAGACAGGCTCCTAGGACTGTATTCTGGTCTCTGTGATCAAGGTCCTTTACTAGGGAAACAGCCCACGGTGAAGCTTCTAAAACTGGTGCTGAATGAAGACATCAAGTCCACATTCCCCACGGGCCTCTGGTGGAGCTGCAATCACAGACAACGGACAGTCGGGGCACTGCTTTCCAGGCCACTCAGAGCACTGCCTCCATCTGGAGCCTCAGGTGTATGGTCCATGTCTAAGGTCTGTTAGGGTGACAACAGTGATGGACAAGGGCCTGCAGAGAGCCCCAGTGCAGACCGCAATGTCCAAGAGCAAAACCACATGAGCCACTCCGGCCATGCCCATATGGCTTTTTCAGTCACAGTTCCCTCTCACCCTGATCCCAAGCCCAGCTTTTCCAATCGCAGGAGGTCCCTCAACAGAAAGGAAGAGGGGAGGGAGGACTGAGGGCAGACAAGGAGCCAACCACCTGCAAAGAATAACATGTCCTCTGGAATTTAAAATGTCCCCAGGCTTTAAAAGTCAGTGGATCCAAATTCCCTTCCTCTTTCCACCAGGAGAAGCAAATGACAACCTTAACGGAGGGTGGGGAGGAAGTGTTTCTGTCATAGTAATAGTACTATCAGAGGAGAAATAGTGTACTATTTCCAAGACAGCTGGTTAGTGCCCCAACCACACACTGGTTCCTGTCCTCGACCTCCCTAGTTAAGGAGGTACTGAGGAATCAGACGGGCCGGCTAGCTCCTTACCTTCCATATGGCTTTGTCTTTCTTTTTAAGAAATATGTTCATTGATTTTTTTTTTTTTTTTTTTTTTTTTTTAGAGAGAGGAAGGGAGAGGGAGAGATAGAGACAGGGATGAGAGACAAACATCAATCAGCTGTCTCCTGCACGCCCCTTACTGGGGATCGAGACATGTGCCCCAACCGGGAATCGAACTGGGGACCTCTTGGTGCATGCATGGATCAAGGCTCAACCACTGAGCCACACCGGCCACGCCCATATGGCTTTTTCAATCAGAAGCTGGAGGAAGGAGAACCCATAGAGGATTGGGAGGCTGTGAGGAGCTTTCAGGCAAAAGGAAGGGGCTGCAGACAGCAGCC